TCCTTGATTTTCCTCTCCTCCAATGACTTTCACAACTCTGATCTATATTAGCAACCCTTGTGAAATGGCCTTGGTTCAGGACTCATTATCTCTGAGAATTTCAAGATGCTTGTCTTCTCAAATTTCTCTGGGAGGAAGTAATGACTGAAGACTGTGGACACTCACACTGAATGCACGCTTTACTGTCATCTCAGCTTCCCAGCAACTCCCTTTGGCTTCTTGTTCCTAGTTTGATTCTTAGCCTGCTCCACATAGGCCATCATTCCAATGATGGTCATTAGTCTGACAGAATTTCCCCAGGACTGCTTTGCCGATCCTCAACTCTAAGCACTTTACCATTCTTTTTCTCTGATTTGGTCCCCAAATTCCAGAGACTTTGTATGATTATGTGGACTGAATCCATCTCAAGGTCCTATCACCCAACCTTTGCCATGCACACTGATACTTCTTGACAGTGCTTTGGTTTATTACTAGTGGACTCCTCTCTTCACAGTGGCTGCTCTGACCTTTCTGTTCTTCAACCAGTCTTAGTCCCCTTTGAGTGGATGACCTCACCAAGGAGGCAGACATCATCGAACAGGCATGTCCATAGATCCTTGTTCTAACAGAGTCTCTCTCCACAACTACTCATCTCTCCAGTCACCTCATTCTATTCTCTTTGCATCCTTATTACCAATAAACTTTTCTAGAATCAAAATGCTTTTGAGCTGGGCACAGTGGCTCATGCCTATAATCTCACCACTTTGGGAGGCTGAGGTGGGAGGATCACTTGAGCCTAGGAATTTGAGACCAGCCTGGGCAACATAGTGAGACCTCACCTTCGCAAAAGAAAAAAACTCTTTCCTTCACTTTTTTTTTCCTTTCTTTTTTTAAATTATACTTTAAGTTCTAGGGTACATGTGCACAACATGCAGGTTTGTTACATATATATACATGTACCATGTTGGTGTGCTGCACCCATTAACTCATCATTTACATTAGGTATATCTCCTAATGCTATCCCTTCCCCCCACCCCCTCCCCACAATAGGACCCGGTGTGTGATGCTCCCCTTCCTTTTAGTCCCTTGTAATTTGGCTTTATGCCCCACTCCTACAAAACTTTAAGGTTATCAAAGACTTCCTAGTTACTAAGTGTAAACTTCTTCTAAGTTCCATCCTTCTCTATATTGTAAATCAAGCCCTGCTTGTTGAAATGCCTCCCTTGGCTTCTATGATTATTTCCCACTCTTTGTTAGCTCCTTTCTCCTCCTTACGTGTATGGTTGGCTGTTGGTTTTCTCCTGGCCCCTGTTCTATTTGATCCTTGGGTTGAGATCCCGAGGAGCTAAAATCTTTGGGGAACATCCCATTTCTTAGCAGAACATACACAAGATTGTTAATGGCTTGGCCCCTTCCTACCTCTCCATTCCCTTACTTACCATTGCATAGAATTGTCCTACATTCCAGCTACCCAGAATTACCAGTGGTTCCCAACAGTCTTGCCTTATTTTCTGCCTGGTACACATTTCCCTCTTCCCATCCCTTGCTGTGTAATACCTATTAGCACAGCAAGACTCAGCTCTGAGGCACTGTCTCCTCTGAGAATTTCCCCCTTACTCCTGTCTGGGTTATGTACCGTTCTGTGCTCCTTGCCATCATGGCACTGTGCTATCAGTCTATTTATTTGTCTGTCTTTCCCATTAGGGTTCAGGCCCCTTGAGGGCAGGGCTGAGATTTGTTCACTTTTATCACCCACCACAGTGGCTGACACAGGATTGGTACTCAATAACTGCTTAAAAAATGGAGTCAATCATCATCTCTTTACTAAGCAGGTGATCCAACTAACCTCTAGACTTGCATTTCCTATAGCATGCTACCTCTATGCCAGGTTATCATGACCTAGTTCAAGGATAAACTAATTTAATTATCATGGGTTAATACAGGTGATTTTAGGTTTCTTCTTTTTGTTCATCCCTTACTTTATGGGTCCAGCACGCTTCCGCTGTGTGACTCCGCTTTTTTATCCCATACTTTAAAAATCTTTCATGAACAAGTATTATTTTGGTTAAAAGAAAATGATCTATTTAAAAAAGGATCTATCTTTTTTTTTTTAAACAGTCAAATAGTTACATACAGTATTACTTAATCCTCATTTGCTTCTGAGGAACAAAAACCCAAATGAAACCACATTAAGCAAAAGGGAGGTGGGGTAGGATAGCAAAGAACGGAAATGTGGCAGGTCTCGGTAAATCCTAGACCCAGGATGCTGGATGCCCTGAGAATTCTCTCTTCTTTCTCGTCTCCAGCCCATATAGCAGGTGAGAGGGCAGGGGACAATTCACAAGGTTTACTGTTTCTTCAGCCACACAGAGACCTTATTTCCAGCTCCAGAATTCCCAAAGAGCAGTTCCACCCAACACTGGCCAGAGGTGATATGTCATGCAGTATAATAAATCCCAGTCACCCTGAGGCTGGAAGGCACATCTTTAAAAACTGGGGGGTAGATGCTGGGGCATGGCAAACAACAGGTATCTATCTTGGAGTCTTCTCCTGCCCACGAGTTCCTCCAGTTATCAAAATGCTTCCCATGATTAAAGCTCAATCTTAAATGACACTTCCGCTGTAAAAACTCCACTGATCTCCAGCCAACCAAGTCTTAACTACTTCTTCTTCCCTCTGTGCTCTTCATTCTACTTTATTTTATAGTAAGTACATATGACTGTAAACTCACAAGAGAAAGAATATAGTATTTAATAGAATTAACTCTAGATTTTAAAGTCAGATCTGAATTGAAACTCTGATTTCCACATCAACTAGCTAGGTGACTTTGGGCAACTTACTTAGCTTCTGAGTTAAATTTCCTCATTTGTAAGAAAAATGGTGGCTGGGTGCAGTGGCTTACACCTGTAATCTCAGCACTTTGGGAGGCTGAGGCGGCCTGATCACCTGAGGTCAGGAATTCAAGACCAGCCTGACCAACATGGGAAAATCCCATCTCTACTAAAAATACAAAATTAACTGGGCATAGTGGCACATGCCTGTAATCCCAGCTACTTGGGAGGCTGAGGCAGGAGAATCACTTGAATCCAGGAGGTGGAGGTTGCGGTGAGCTGAGATTGCGCCATTGCAACCCAGCCAGAGCAGCAAGAGTGAAACTCCATCTCGAAAGAAAGAAAGAAAAATGCCATAAGGAGTTGTGGACAGAGTAGTATCTCATATGTCCTTGGGAGGATGACAGACAATGTTTGGGAACCCCTTGCAGAGTCCTGGAAAACAACAGGCTAGGCACTCAAGCATTGCTAGTTTTCTCCAGGTTTCTCTCTCTAGACTCTGAGTTCCTCAAAGATAAATCTTCCACTGTGTTTATTAAATACTTCAAAGGTAAGTAGGTCTTCATCAAACTCTCTTGAATAAAATTCCTTTCAGGTGTCTTCCCAGCCAGATTTAGCTGGCTGTATTAACAGTTATTGAGAGGTTCTAACTGCTTTGCATGTATCAGCTTAATCTTCATGATAATCCCAGGAGGTAGGTTTGTCTCCATTTTACAGATAAGGAAACAGGTGAAGAAAAACTAAAAAACTTGATGGAAGTCAAATACTATTAAATGAAGAATGACGCAAGAGCTCTAGGGCCCTCCACTTCTAATAGTTGATTTTTTTCATTCCTTTAATTAAACCTTTCCAAGAGACTTATAGCCTCCTATGGCTGATGACAATGGTCTTCCTAAGATTTCACCAAAAATACACAGAGTTGCACTTAACCATGAAGGACCTACTTATGCACCATGTTGCAAACGCCACAGGTCCCAACCAGGAGATTTCAATCTACTGGATGATCCTGATGTTTTATCTGACAGAACTTCAAGCTGGCTACCAGCATTGCTACATCCAACTAACAACTTGCATAACTGTCCCACCAGGCAACCATGGGAACTCAAAAATGGCTTTTCACTAGGAAAAGGATGAGGAATCCTAGCCTGAGCACTTTATCTCTTTACTTCATTGTTAAAGCTAATAGTTTAAATATCAACTTTGATTTTATCTCACCAATCACTATTATCTAGATCACCTGTGCTTGAAATGACTTACGTAAGTGGAAAATAGAGCGTATGGGAGAGTTCAACTGATTCCCACACTTGCATGGCGGATGCGTTTTTAAGGCATCTGCACCTCAATTTTGTGACAAGTCACAACTATATTATTTCCACTTGACAAATGAAGAAACAGAGATTCACAGAAGTTAAGTGGCCCAGCAAAGATGTGCGTGAATTTGTGTTACAATGTAGGACTTCTGTCCGGGGATTTCTCTACTTATATCATTGTTTTTTGGACACAAAAAGCAGCTGTAGAAATTTTTGCTTGGTCATAGTTTAGGGAATAAATGTTGTATTTTGGGGGTGAAAAAGGCATTCTTTTCTTTGAAACCAGGTTTAAAAAGGGAGGGTCCTTAAATTTCAGGTCTCATAAACACACTCCAGGAAAGATACACAAAAATGTAAAGGAGAAAGAATGGCATCTATTGGGGCAGGAAATAATCTAAGTGTCCTTCAATCTGGGTCCCTCATTGGGAAACTTTTTTGTGGGGGAATGGATAGTGTTGGGATCATCCCAGCCTTAAGTAGACTGACTGCAAAGGTAGTCATCATCTGCTGCACTGTGAGTTCTCATCCCTCCCCCTTTATTACCTCCTCCCACAGTCATGCTTGTATCTTCATCTGAAGTTTAGAAATTGTTGCTTTGGTTGACTGCCTGGTACTAACCAACAAGTGCTGCTGCTGTAATTTCTAAAATTAAAAAGTTCATACACGTAAGATTTTTGTAGTTTTTCTTAATTTTTAAAGGTGTACATCTCCTGTGTTTTGTGACTGAAAATGGCTCCAGTCTCTTCATGCTGCTGTGTCCAGTCTCTGAAATAGTAATTTCACTCATGTTTGGTGGAGGATATTTAAGAAAAAAACTCTCAGAAGGGTAGCAAACTTTACTGATCCTAAAATCTAGTAGGTGAACAAAGGAAATGACAAATTTTTAATCAAAGTAAGCAATAATGACAGGTTTATTGAAAATTTCCAGTAGAGAAAACCCACTAGTTTTGGAATAAAAGTACTCAATGTACGAGAGCATAAGTGAATACAAAAGATTAACAGAAGAAAAATAAAACCAAACATAGTACAAAAAAATTTAAAAAGTTTGAAATGAATTCAAACTGGGATGTTCTTTAAATCCTCCAAATATTTAACAGAGTTACTAAGTTTGGCAAAAAATTCACTTGAAAATTAAAGCCTATTTCTGTACTGTAAACTCCGTAAAAACTGCTTATTAAAATCAAGCACTCCATATAACTGGTATTGAAACATGTAAGCAATTTCAGAATAGCAGGAATTATTCATTTGTTCTCACAGTTACATGAATTAACCAGCTGCAGAACTGCCTTTTGAAGAGCATGAGATAAAAAAATGCCAAGAGAGAGAAAAAAATGATAAAAATCTCTAAAAAATGGAAACACAGCAAATTCAGATATCAGTTTGTTTCTTTAAAGCAACAAACTGAATTTTTACAGTATAGTCTACATTTGCAGTTGTCATTTCCCTCTTCCCCCCACCCACCTCAAATACTCCTAAATTCACTAGTCTAATCAATTCTTAACTTCCAAATACTCTGTACATACATATTTAGCAAAGAGCATATGCCTAGCATTATTCTGACAGCAAGTATGGTCAGTATACAATTTTAGAAAGATTATTATGTATATCATCAAGACTAACTTTTACTTAAAACAAACAAACAAAACCATCGCTAAACAAATAGTTTTAAAATATTATGAAAACCCATGAAAAGAAGACTCAACATGGGCTCTAAACCTGATAAAACACGTTTCAGAACAACTATTAATGCTAAACTTCTGCCCAACGATGACCTTAAAGTGCCAAACACCAAAGAATCTCTTAGGACCATTTTCTAATAGACAATTTGTCCCTGGCTTGGCCATTTCTCCTTTAGCTATACACAAAGTCCTGCTAAAAGTCTGCATTTTAGTTTGATTTTACAATAGAATGTTACGATGTAAACTAAACAGGTTCTTGATATCAACAGTATGTTACCAAGGTGGGTTTTTTTGTTTTGTTTTGTTGTTTAAATTTCTGAATCCAACAGTTGGTCACAGAGGTCAAGTATTATCAAGACTCCTTTGTCAGTTCTCAATCGTGTCTGACTCATCCATCCTTCAAGTACATGCAAGGCTCAATAGTTTTCAAGAGGCAGATGCCTGGGGCCATTTAAGACACAGATGAAATAGGATTATGAGGTGAACCCATTTGAGTAAGAACTTTATCCAGCCACTGGAGGGGGCCATGCAGATGTATCTCAATCCAGCAGGGGGTGCTAGTAACATCCTGGCGGTGGTATTCTGCTCCCCAGCCCTAGGAAAAACATACTGGAGGTCATTTAACTTGTTTTAACTCAGTGGTTAAACTTATTAAGTAAGAAGGGTTCACATAACCAAGACACTGATTAAAGCTATGCATCTTTCCTCCCTGCCCCCCGCCGCCGGGGAGAAAAAAACACACATATACAAACACACATATAATTTGGCAGGCAATTTCAAAGGATGGATGTTAGCTCCCCAGGGTCCATCCATGGATTCCAATAAGAATTACCAGTCTTGAGGAATGAAGGTTTTAAAATACATTATAAAGTTGTCTTAATAAAGGCACTGTAAAACTTTTATTTTAATTGCCCATTTCTGATAGTAATGTAATAGCTATTATTAAATTCTCATTTTATCAAGAAAATAAAACAAAAAAGCTATGCTAGACAGACTGACATTCAATTTCTTCCTTATTCGGCCACTGAATCAGCCTCCTATCAACACACAGCTCTTGATCTTTCAATCTCTAAGCAAAATGGGCAGGAGTACATTTAAGTATCCAAAAAGCTATTATTGACATCTAGCCATTGCCATGAATCAATACATTCTATCATTCATTTGTACAAGAAGGTAGCTTGTCAGAACTACTGCATTAAGACAGTAGAGTTCCACAGAATAAAGCCACTATGAAAAAGAGAAAAGTAACTGCTACTGCAAATATCAAAAACTCACTGGTGGGGATGGACAATGATTAATCCTTTAGTCACTGTTTCATGAGGAGTATCAGAGAAGGTTGGGTTCTATTTATTTCTGCTACCTATCTACTCCAGTAGTTTTAAGAAATAGATCTGGGGCCAGGTGCGGTGGCTCACACCTGTAATCCCAGCACTTTGGGAGTCCGAGACGGGCAGATCACCTGAGGTCGGGAGCTCCAGACCAGCCTGACCAACATGGTGAAACCCCATCTCTACTAAAAATATAAAAAGTAGCCAGGTGTGGTGGTGTATCCCTGTAATCCCCGCTACTTGGGAAGCTTAGGCATGAGAACCACTTGAATCCAGGAGGCGGAGGTTACCATGAGTCAAGATCACACCACTGCACTCCGGCCTGGGTGACAGAGCAAGACTCTGTCTCAGGCAGGTGGATCACTTGAGGTCAGGAGTTTGAGACCAGCCTGGCCAACATGGCGAAACTCTGACTCTACTAAAAATACAGAAATTAGCCGGGTGCTGTGGCACACGCCTGTAATCCCAGTTACTCGGGAGCCTGAAGCAGGAGAATTGCTTGAACCTGGGAGGCAGAGGTTGTAGTGAGCCGAGATCACACCATTGCACTCCAGCCTGGGCGACAGAGCAAGACTCTGTCTTAAGAAAAAAAAAAGAAAGAAAGAAAAGGAAATGTATCTGAACATCAAAACTTGTTTAAACTACATCTATATAGATATATGTATCTATATAGATGTATGTCCACTCATGCATTTGTAAATATAAACAAACTCCTAAATTTAATTTACAGGCTTATGTGCAGGTTTCCTCCATCAGATATCAACATCTTTGAAGGCAGGAATTTATATTTACCTCTGATATATAGCATAACGACAGAAGGCGGAAGCTCTATAAATATGTGTTCAGCTGAGCTGAGTTGGACTTTCAGACATAGAGTTTAAAGTACAAATAATTTATAAAATATGTTTTATGTTAACATCCAAAAATGATCATTTTGAAAACAGCTCAAAATTGGCTACTGTTAGTAAAATGTTCTGTTATAATTTCTTTAAAATGTTGAGTGGGAGAGGATAAAGTATGCAGTCCATATAATAAAGAACAGTTCTGTAAAAACAGTGTGTACATTTTTTGTTGCTAATATATGATAAACAGTTTCTCTTTAACATTCAGCAGGATTTTTAAATATTATTTACCTTCAGCTCTCTAAATCCAACTTCCAGGCTAAGTTCATTATATCTTGTATAATTCTCCATTCTAGTGCTTATCAGATTATAATTAAAGATATACTAGAGCATAAGGATCTTGATAATAGAGACTTTAGGTGCTTTTTCATCTTTGTATTACTTCTCTGAAATAGTGCTAAAATATCTGCTGAACGAATAAAATCTAATAAATTTTGAATGCATAACTTTGCATTATAAATACTTTTATTAGTGTAAAGGTTGTTTTTAATTGTGTAAAAGTAAATTATTAAAACTGTACAAAAGTAAAATAATGAACATTGATTGGATAAACAATAAGAAATGAGTTTGAGCACGAAGCTAATTGGAACATTAAAGTCATAAATTCTCCTAGAGTGGTCCTTCAATAATAGACTCACTGAGGGACCTTAATAATAATTACCACAGTTCTCAACTCCATCCACCCCCATTTCAAAGATAATAAACATGAGAACCAGAGAAGAAATCTGCCTTAATCACGCAGTTAAAATGGCAGAAAAAAACTGGAAACTGCACCTCAACTCTCAAGAGTTGTTCTTTCCTCCATACCAATAAAAACAATAAACGAAAACACTTCTGGCAGGTCACTGTTCTAATTTTAAAAACCATTTGAGCCAAATGCTAAGTCAAAAATTAAACAGCACATGTTAATAATGAATAAGATAGGTCTTTGTAGTCCCATATGTACATAGCATATAGGTCAACCTCTTCAAAGGGTAAAAAAATTTTCTTAATACTAACAAGGTACCAGACTCAGCTACAAATAACTGTTGAAGTACACTGCAAAAAGGAAGCAAGCAAGCAAACAAAAACAAACACTAAGGGAACACACTGAAAATCTAAAATGCTTTAAATAAGTAGGAAAAGTAATTATATTCAGGAAAAGGTATCTTTGATCTAAGGGATGATTAACAAGTAAGGCTCCAAAATTATCCTCAGTAATAAATACATTACAAAACAGGCTTAACAACAAGTTTGGTGAGCTTCTGAACAGAAGACATAAGAGGTAATTGCCTCACTCAAATATATAATTAGTTCTGTTTCTCAAAGTACAAGACGATGAAACTTATTTTTGAGAATTCAGAGACAGGTCAGTTACTAGAATAAGTCACTGACTCAGGAAATCTAATCAGACGTTTAAGGTTTTTTAGATTTCAATGGCATCCTAAAAATTTTTATTTCTCAGAGGCAGAAGATGAGACAGCAAAAAGATCAATTATTATGAGCAATGTGTTTAACCTTCTCCCTCATCAAACCTTACAATGCAATCTTTGAGCTAAGGCATCTATTTATCTTGGGCAAGGGCCTTATTAACTTTTGAATTGTTAAGAAACTCATGAGGCTTACTGAAACCACTAAAAAAACCTGACCAAACACAATTTCCAATGTGATGAACTTTAATTTTTACAAAAAGATCACTTCCTTACTTTTGAAACAAAAACAAGCATTACCATCATAAAAGTACTAAAAACAAAGAACGAAAAGTAAGGAAGATATGTTTACTCAACTGATCTTTTAAAACAACCATGTATTTAAATTATATTTTAAATATGTAACATAACATATTCTACTGGTAATACAATAGCTAAAACGGTGCCATCTGAATAAGGAAAAGGCTATTAAAACCCACAGCTATTGATATTTAATACAAGTACTCCTATGTTCCTATGATATTTTCCTAATAATTGACACTCTTGTTACAGTTTAAAAATACCTAGATAATAAGTCAGCTAATATGAACATATTATCAAGAAGACATAGATTCACATATTGCCAAAAAAAAAAAGCACAGCAAAAGTATGTGAGACCCTTAATGGAGGAGTCAGAGTTCACTTACCTTCACAAAGCTCATACGTATAGTACACATTTTTGTAAGCTCATAGACCGTCTCAAATCCATGGTTCACAGACTGTGCCAATAACTGAGCAAATTCTTGGTTGTTAAAAATTTTCAGACTACACCCACTAGGGATCTTGCAAACAGTAGTAGGATGAAATCCATGATGGTAGTTGCAGTTCCGACTTTGCACAAAGATGCTACTGTCACTAAGGCATTCGGCATATACCTCCCCTCCAACATAATAAAGATGAACCCCTATTGGAAGACAAAGCATGTAATTTAGTTATTATTAATTTTTATAGCTCAAAGGCACCTGTGCAGCTTCAACACAGAAACTTAAATTTACATGGATTTAAACTTTGGCTACTTAGATAGCTATTCTCTAAGTCCTGTACAACAGGGGTCCCCAACCCCCGAGGCCATGGACCCGTATCAGTCCGTGGCCTGTTACACAGCAGGAGGTGAGTGAGCAAGCATTACAGCCTGAGCTCCACCTCCTGTCAGATCAGTGGCAGCATTAGATGCTCATAGAAGCATGAACCCTATTGTGAACTGTGCATGTGAGGGATCTAGGTTGCGTGCTCCTTATGAGAAACTAATGCCTGATGATCTGAGTGGAACAGTTTCATCCTGAAACTATCCCTTCCCCATCCCCTGTGGAAAAATTGTCTTCCATGAAATCAGTCCCTGGTGCCAAAAGATTGGGGATGGCTGATGTATGATTGATAAAATCTTAGTTAACTGTATTAGTTAATAACAGTATCTAGGAGGTTTCTAGAAAAATAACAAAATGTTTAAAAAAATACTAATAGGCCAGGCACAGTGGTTCAGACCTGCAATCTCAGCACTTTGGGAAGCCAAGGTGGACAGATTGCTTGAGTTCAGGAGTTCAAGAGTAGCCCAGGCAGCATGGCGAAACCCCGTCTCCACAAAAAAAAAAAAAAAAAAGAAAAGAAAAAAAGAAAAAACATTAGCTAGGCACAGTGGTGCACGCCTGTAGTCCCAGTTACACAGAGGCTGAGGTGGCAGGATTGCTTGAGGCAAGGAGGTCAAGGCTGCAGTGAGCTGTGATCAAGCCACTGCACTCCAGATTGGGTGACAGAGTGAGACCCTGTCTCAAATAACAACAACAACAACAACAACAACAAAATGAAGCGATTTCATTTTGGTAAGTAATTAATGTCCTACTTGGCCAGACATGGAAAGTATATTTTCACTCTAAAAATACAACATAATAAAACCTGGATGCTATGTATTTACTATAAAGCACTCTTGCATTTATTGTACAGCTAAGATGTTTGGAAAATTTTAGAAAGGGAAGAGAGGAGAAAGAGAAGAGAGGAACTGTAAAGTCACAGGTGGAAGAAGTATTGCCAAGAGCTGTAAGATATAAGATCCAGTAAAAAAACCATGAAAATGAAACTAGAAAAGTCATACGGTATATGTAAAATTAGATCTCACTAAACTATCACCTGCTCCGAACTTCTTCCTTTGAGACCCAGACTGCTTAAAGTGTAGCAAATTGGTCTTACCCTGCCTTTAAAAAAAGGGAAGTAGGGGTAAAAAACTCATTCTCACAAAGCCCCACACCACTGTGGGAGATGACTTTATAGAGGTCACCCAGCAGCGTTAGATCCTATGTGGGTTTAAATGATCCACCTTGTAGGTAACTCTGGTATGGCTTAGTCAAGGCTATACTATGTCTCATAGAAAATGTTACATGTTGTGTTTATATGTATACACAACAGTTAGGATTTCTGTAACAATTAAATAGCTGCTGGAGCAGAAGCCCATTTGTTTGGCCTGATGTAGATAAAACAATTTAAGAGTGTGTGTGCTACTAATTTTTCCTGATAAAAATGACAAATTTTCATCCTGAAAAATCAGAAAGTAAATCAAAATATAAAGAGGTAGAAAATATTATCACTCTTTTAGTGACTCAGAGGCAATAATTATTAATAGTTTGATACACTGTATTTGGTTTTGGCTATCATTAAAATGTCTTTGCAAACATTTAAAATATCTGTATGATTGTATGAGTGTTTTTAAAATGATTTTCCCATTAGTGGACCACTGGGCTGATAGCAATTTTCTGCTTTTATAGTAATGCCATGATAAATGTCTCTGGACAATTTTTGATAATATCCTTAGGAGAGATTCCTGGAAGTTAAATTATTGGATCGAAGGCTGCTGATTAACTCTGCCAAATGACTTTCCAGAATGCATCAATTTACACTGTCACCAGCAGTGTAGGAATGCTTTTCTCATTTCACCCGTGCCAGTACTGAATCTGCGTGTAGAGCAAAAATAAAATTTCCCTAATTTATAGTTGACAAATAATTGTTTAATTTGCCTGTGAGGCTGGATATGTTCTCAAAGTTTATCAGCCATCTGTGTTTCTCTTGTGAATTCACTGTTCATATTTCTTACCTATTTATCTCACTGGGGTCCTATTTTTACTTTTTTTTTTTGAACTGTTCATGTAAGAAGGATATAAATACTTTCTTATTTGTTTCCCTGTTAGTCCTTTGTCTTTTATTTGTGACATATTTTTAACCTACAGAAGTGTGCAATCTCTTAGTCAAACCTTTTACAATCCTTTGTTGCTTTTTATGCTTAGAAAATTTCTACTTCTCTGATCAAGCATATTTTCTTCTAGTTTTTTAATTGTTTGCCTTTTGAAAAACATTCAACTCATTAATCTGTTTGCATATATAGTATGAGGTCAGGGTTTCTCTTTCCCAGCCTCACCCAAAAGTTAACTTGGTTTTGTAGAACCATTAGAAGACTCTACTGATTTGCTATGCTTCACTTAACATACATTATATTTTTATGTACAGAATAGTCTGAGTTTAACTCATTCTACTGTTTTGTCTACACACTGGTTTACTTGTAGTTTTACAATGTTTTATTAACCCTAACGCCAATAATTTTTTTCTTTATTTTTCCATTTACAAAGTTAGCTAGCCTTACTTGCTTATTCTTCCAGGTAATATTCAGAATATATTTTCCAATTTTCAAATAAATCACACTGTGATTCTGAAAAGAGTTGCTTTAACCTATAAGTTAAATTAGATGGAATTAATACGCTTAAAATGTTCTCACAATATTAAGCCTTCCCTTTAAGGAACATGGACTGCCTATTTATTCAAATTTTCCTTCTCTCAGTTAAATTTGGTTTCTTCATGTAATTCTCACATATTGCAGGTTCAGATTATTTCGAAGAAACTGATGTTTTCTGTGGCTATTGGGAAGGGGATTTCCCCTTTCATTATATTTTCTAACTGGTTATTACCAGATTAAAGGAAACTGACTTACATAATTTTTAATAGATAGATTCTTTGGAGGTTTCTAGATAAATAATCGTATCATTTGAATAGGCACAATGCCCAACCATAACACTGGCATGGATGAAGGGAGAAAGGCACTCATATATTTCTGGTAGGAATGCAAATTCATTTTATGTATGTATGTATGTATGTATGTATTTATTTTATTTTAATTAATTTATTTATTTTGAGACAGTCTCCCTCTGTCACCCAGGCTAGAGAGCAGTGACTTGATCTCAGCTCACGGCAACCTCCGCCTCCCAAATTGAAGTGATAACTTTTCCTCTGCCTCCCGAGTAGCTGGGATTAGAGGCATGTGCCACCACATCTGGCTAATTTCTATATTTTTAGTAGAGACCCGGTTTCACCATGTTGCCCAGGCTGGTCTCGAACTCCTGACCTCAACTTATTCACCTGCCTTAGCCTCCCAAAGTGCTGGAATTTCTTTTTGGAAAGTAATTGGGTGAAATATATCAATAGATTTTGATCTACAAGAATCTATCCAGAGAATATTGTCAATCACACATATCATCTACACATAATAATCTGGCCTTATTTCCATTATCTATAATTGTATATTTGAGTACACTATCCAGGGCATCTGGAACAATTTTAAATAACAGCATTCCAAGAATCCTTATTTTCTTAATAATGTTTTAGGAGGAAATGTCCCATACTACAATTTTTTTTTTTTGCTACTTTGGGATAAGAGTCATCTTTAGAATTTAATGAAAAGTATGTCCTTTCCTCCCAAATGTATGCGAAATGTTGTTTATATACAATTTCAGAGGTTTACAGACCATAGAGAGATATCTATGTATGTTATGAACCTAGGTTCTAGCATTTCATTATTAAATTTATAGTCAGAGTTTTTTCCTTTAGTTATATAAGAAAGTATCTACCAATTCCTGATTTAAGAGTTGGAGTTTTCTTCCCGTCAGGATTAAATGTTACACTTTATCTTGAGTGCTTTTAAAGCATCTAATAAATAACCTTTTAATCTGGTACACTGTTCTAAATTTCACAGGTCACTGTTTCATACTTTTACCCCGGAAATAATTTCAGATTTGTAGAAAAGTTTGAAAGGGAACACAGAAAAACAGAGCAAAGAATACCCGTATAACCATTATCCAGATGCATCTATTGTGACAATTTACTCCATTTGCTTGATCGCTTGGGCCCTCTCTCCCCACTGCTGCTGCACATGCACCATGCATGTGTGTGTCTGTCTGTCTGTATGTATGTATTGTAACACAGGTTTTAGGTAGATAGATGGTGAGTAGACAAGTATCTTTATATACTAATTTATTCCTGAACCACTTCCTTACTTAAGTATTTCCTAAGAATAGGGATAGTCTCTTACATAGCCATAGTATAGTTGGCAATGCTAATACATTTAACATTAGTCTAATTCACCATTCATATTTCGGTTTTGCCTGTTGACCTCAATAATGTCCTTTACAATATTAATATTTTTCTCCTGTTCAGTACAGGATCATATCCAGGGCTAGATACTGCATGCAGGTGTCATATCTCTTTAACTACTTTTAATCTGGAACATTTCCATACCTTTGTCTTTTGACACTGATATCTTGGAAAAATTAGTCCCCCTTCTTCAACCTTTTTAATAGAATGTTTTGAGTCTGTCTGATATTTCCTCAGGATTAGATTAGGATTTGCATTCTCAGCTGGAATCCTGCGTAGGTGATGTTATGGCCTTCTCAGGGTATGACATCTGGAGGTATATGATACCCATCTATCTCTCATTGGTGATGATAATTTTGATCTCCCAGTCAAAACTGGGCATCCATCAATTATACAATTACAATTAAAATACAAATGATACAGTTTCTCCACTGTATAGTTAATGCTTTTTATTCTCCCTCATACTAAAAGGCAGTTTGAGGGTAAACACTCTTAAGACCATGCAAATATACCGATTCTCATAAACATTTTCTTTATATTTAGCATCCATTGATGATTCTTGCCTGATCATTACTATGATGGTTGCAAAATGATGATATTCAAACTTTAGCACTCACTCTGTATTTATCAACCAGCCTTCCCCATTCACTTATTTATCTATTTATTATGAGTATGGACTTATGAATTCATATTGTTTTTCAATGGTGTAAAATTCAATGCCATACTGAGGCCAGGCACAGTGGCTCACAACCTGTAATTCCAGAACTTTGGGAGGCCAAGGCAGGCTGATCATTTGAGGTTAGGAGTTCGAGACCAGCCTAGCCAATAAGGTGAAACTCAACGACTCTACTAAATATACAAAAATTAGCCGAGCATGGTGGTGCACACCTGTAATCTCCCAGTTACCGAGGAGGCTGAGATACAAGAATCACTTGAACCTGGGAGGTGGAAGTTGCAGTGAGCCAAGATCACACCACTGGACTCCAGCCTGGGTGACAGGGGGAGACTCCATTTAAAAAAAATATAAATAAATAAAATGAAGTAAAATTCATCACTGTAATTATTTTGGGGCTCAAATTGTCTGAGAGTTGGCTCCTGAGGCATGCCCCATGATTTCCATCAGCATTTCTTTACTTTCTGCCATAACAAGATGCTCTAGGGTCCTCCTGTGCCTACCTATCCTAGCCTAGGAGTCAGCCATTTCTTCAAGGAGCCCTAGCTCCTTTTAGTGGGACATAGTATTAGTGATGATGATCTGAACACTAGACATGCTTATTGCTACTGGGTATGTAAGCTTCTGGGCCCTTTCAGCAGGCAGATCAGAAACCATACGCACGTAAAAACACATATACATACGCATACACACGCACATACGTAATACATGAGAACATAAACATACATACACACATACACATAAGTATTATTAAAATCAGAATTTTGCATTGATACCTCTATTCTCCTTCATAGGGTTTAGTTTTTGCTCCCCTCTGCATTTATATGTCTGTCTTCCACAGTGGAAACCCAGGCTCCCAACAATATCCACACATTTAGTCATTTGCTTCATCTTTACATATGAAAGTTTCAGAATGGTTTCACTCATACTGCTATGAAATAATCAAGTTTACTCAAAAGAATTTGAGATTTATTTGAAATCCTACCCCTACTCTATCTATTCCACTCAGCCTAGGCTGAGGATATGGACAGTTGTTCTTATATGGACAGTTTCTTTTATGGACAGTTGTTCAATTTGGTGTCCCTGTGAAGGTACATTCACTGCAGGGTTCTAGCGTGCCACCTTGCATGATGTTTGTGGTAGAATCTAGTTCTTTCTTTTCTGTTTACTGAGTTATGGTATTCATCTGAAATACAATTAAGCAATTAATTTTAATTTGCTTTTAATTTTAGGTTGTAATTCATTTTTTAACAGCCAATTTATTCTGTAGCAAAATATCATACAGAATGATATTACATACAAAATGGCAAATCATAATTTCAAGTAATTAATTTCAATATTATGAGAGTTGATCGACCACAAAAATCACTGACTGCAAGAGCTTCCAGATAGCAGAAACTGGAAAAATATTCACAAACTGCAGCAAGTGAACATTACCTGGTCTTTGCTACACTAGTTTGTTACAGGAATGATGTTAAGTCAGCTCTGGAGGAACAAGGACACAACAGATAAACATCCGAAAGAGGTTAAAGCAAAAACTCACCTTTTCCAATATGCCGCCTGGTGTTTTCAATAGTGGAATTCCGGTTAACATTGGAGAGCAGCCCAAGGCAGAAACGGTTCTTATTGTTGGAAGGATCAGTGAAACCATCCACCAACACACTTGTGGAGGAGGCATGGAAAGCTTCACCCACACGATTGTTGAGCTCATAGTAGACAATAGAGCACCAGTGTTTTGGTTCCTCATAAGCAACCGCCTGAACATCTATAGGAAAGAAAACATTATATCAACCAAGGTTAGTGCCTCAGGCTCTCAAAAACTGAAACCGTGTGGTTGAATTGGCTCAGGATCATGGAATGAAGACATTGGAAAAGCAATTGCTATTATAATGTACACAGTTTTTCTATGATGTTTAAAGCAGGTACTTCTTAACTAAATATGACATTCTCCTTACTCTAATTGGAGAAAATTGGAAAACCATTTTCTCCAGTTACTATCAGATAACCAAAACACCAGCTAAGGAAGCACAGCAAAAACTTTTATTGAATATTAACAATATGCTAATTGCTTTGTAATATGCAGAAATGGAAATCAACCCTATCACAGACTTTGGCTCACCATCTAAAGAAACACAACAAGTGACAAGCGAAAAAATAAGTGGGAAGAGAACAATAGAAGATAGGAAATATGCCAAAGGTATTGGCATAAAAATGAATTACTTTTGGCAAGGCTAAGTATGCCTATGCTTATTCAAAGCAATGAAAATCAGTTTCTAATTATTGATAAAAAGTTACTTTACCTCATATTAAGTTGCCAATAACTATCACAGCTACAGTGTTGCTCCAGTTCTCAAACTCAGGAAGAAATCTTGCCAGCTGGCCATTCTTACAGAATGAATCATATCTTTCTCATCCAGATTTCATGCTAACTTCCTTATATTTGCTTTAAGTCATGCAGAGCAGGTGTGTTTTGTCTCTCCATTCCCAGAATGGGCCAACAATGGAAATTACCCAACTTTACTGACAGGATGCAGCTTGTTAAGTCAAATCTCTTAAGACTAACAAATCTCCAAACAGAACATGGTTCTAAACATTTGCAACTAAAAGGTTTTAAAGATGAATTCCTTCTGTAGTAAAACCTCTAGTACCACTGCTTTAGAGATTCCAGGAATACAAACCATATATTTCCAGCATACCAATAATATAATGATCTGAGGTTTTGAAGTCTTGGGTGTACAATAATAAGAGAAAGAAAAGAAAGAAAGTCCACATCAGAAGCCCAGACTATAACTGCTAAGGGAGAAACACCTCTGTGTTCTTAACATCAAATTCCACAAATACTAAAATGCACTTTTAGAAATTGGTAAAAAACAAAACAAAACAAAAACAACAACACACACCACACACATACAAGAAAAAAAAAAAAAACCAAGGAAAATACTCATTAAAAAACCCACATGTAAGTTAGCTGCTTTATATATGTAAGTAGTTAGCTAAAAACATACACTATCTTCCCTGCTTGCTAAGCAACTCTACCACGTCAATTTGCCATAATCCAAAGAGCAAAACTTTAGTGATTTACAAGTGCCAAATCTTAAAGCAGACTGCAACATTATTAACAGAAGGCTTTTATCAGCTATCAGGATACTTCAAAATACTATTCATCTAGGTCAGAGGTTGATAAATTCTTTCTGTGAAAGGCCAGAAAGATTTTGTGGACTGTATAATCTTTATCACAACTATCCAGTTCTCCCCTTGTAACACAGAAGCAGTCATAGACAATATGTAATGAATGAATACAGCTGTGGCCCAATAACGCTTTATTCACAAAAACAGATAGCAGGCCGAACTGGCCTGTGGGCTGTAGTTTGTTGACCCCTGCTCTAGGAAAATCACCAAAGGTAAAAAAAAAGTAAAAAAAAAAAAAAAAAAAAAAAAAGGCAGGGAAGAAAAAAAATGGCCAACATTCCTTCCTCCTGAAAATACTGACTATAAACTATAAAGAAAAAAAATATTTAAAGCTATTTAAATGAAAAAAATCTTAAAGCAATTTAAAGATCTGTTTCCTGAAATCAGACATTTTGGGTTTAGCAATAATAGTTACTGGGTCCACATGCTCCTAATAGTGTGGTACTGTGCCTATTCTCCGCTGGTATCCTGGTCTCCAAATATAAATTCCACAGATGTGTGAGATAAGGGTTATTTCCCCCAACCAGAGTGTTCATTGACAAAGAATTATGTTTGATAAGATGTTTAAGAGATAATGAGGAACCATAAAACACAGAGGTAATAAAAAAGATTTAAAAATCATATTGATTAAAACAGTGTACATTCCAATTGATGACACTGTATATCCAAGAAAGGTCCTTTGAGTTCATCACCAATTTTTTTTTTTTTTTGGGGGGGGGACTGAGTTTTGCTCTTGTTGCCCAGGCTGGAGTGTAACGGTGTGATCTCGGCTCACTGCAACCTCTGCCTCCTGGGTTCAAGTGATTCTCCTGCCTCAGCCTCCCAAGTAGCTAGGACAACAGGCACCCGCCACCACACCCAGCTAATTTTTGTATCTGTAGTAGAGATAGGGTTTCACCACGTTGGCCAGGCTGGTCTCAAACTCCTGACCTCAGGTGATCCACCTGCCTCAGCCTCCTAAAGTGCTAGGGATTACAGGCGTGAGCCACCACACCCAGCCTTCATCACCAATTTTTAAATCGATGTTTAGAGCAGTTTTACATTCACAGCAAAGTTGAGTATATGATAGAGTGATTTTCCATATGTCCCCCCCCCCCCCCCCCTCCTAGCCTCCCCCATTATTAATATCCCCCACCAGAGTGGCACATTTGTTGTAACTGATGAACCAACATTCATCCTACAGACCTACACCCAAAGTCTACAGTTTACATCAGGGTTCACTCACAGTGGTGTACATCCTGTGGGTTTGGATAAATGTATAATGACAGGCAGTTACGACTGTATAATGTATCATAGAGACAAAATCAATTTTAAGTACTTAAAAATATTAGCAACTCCTATTTAAATAAGTATCTCCTATTTTAATAAAAAAGCACTATGAATGAAGTAAGACATACCTAGTAACCAAACTGCACTTTAACTTCAATTTGCATAAACATTACATAAATTGCATGGCCCATGCCATGTGTTGAGTGCAGCAGCGAAGCACTTTCCTTCATGAGACGTTACTTAGGAACAGTTTTATTTGCTAGTGTGGCTGTGGATTCTAACAGATTCTCAGAGAGTCTACCAAACTTATTTACCTGACTTCTCTGCTCACTTAAGTCTATGCCACTTGCCTATGCAGGGCTGGAAGAGTGACGGCGTCCTCCACCCGGTCACTGCTAAGGACAATACAGTGGTGGAATCAAAGACCTGCCCGTTACTAGAGGGGGAAGAAATTTTCATTTCTGCCTGCAAGTTCTTCAGGCTGAGAAGGGGAAAAACTTGTGCCTCAATTTCTTTCAGTAACAAAGTTAGAAACAAACAGCAAGAAAGAAATTCTATTAGTTTGTTCCAGTTGTAGTGACAGACATAAAAGGGCTGAAAAATAGATGGGGTTTATGAGTATCTATCCTAATTACAGAAGAAGGCCTTTGGACAGTCCAGTTATACCAACTTCCAACTTTGGAAATCACCAGTGAAAACTCTACTTTAGTTCTGTTATACTTATGGTTTCTATATACCATTTTGTTCATTTAAAAATACTCTTTTTGGCTGGGTGTGGTGGCTCACACCTATAATCACATCACTTCGGGAGGCCAAGGTGGGTGGATCACCTGAGGTCAGGAGTTCATGACCAGCCTGGCCAACATGGTGAAACCCCATCTCTACTAAAAATACAAAAATTAGCTGGGTGTGGTGGTGTGCACCTGTAATCCCAGCAACTCAGGAGGCTGAGGCAGGAGAATCACTTGAACCCACGGGTGGAGGTTGCAGTGAGCCAAGATTGCGCCATTGCACTCCAGCCTGAGCGACCTGAACAAAACTCCATCTCAAAAAAAAAAAAAAAAAAAAAATTCATCATCAGTTAAAAATGATTAAGTATTAAAGATCTAAACAGACAACTGCAAAATTATTCTCAGGTCTTCATTAGTCAAGTCAGTGTATCTGTTCTTTAAATGAAAGACTTACCTGTTATCCAGGAATTCTACTGAGCTTCTCTTACCACTGGGCTCTATTTTTCTCAAATAGCTCTCTTTTTAAAGACTAACAACAATTTGTGAGAGAAAGTAACATCTGGACAAACTTTAGACTCTAAGAAAGGGAACAGGTAACAATTAGTTTTACCTCCTCTGTTGATTTCTGAGGGCAGGGGAGGCGCCATCATGTTTGTGTCCATCGGCTGGGAGCCATCCTGGGTCATGGGGTCTTCAGGAGGCAGGTAAGCAGGTGGGGGCGTATCAGCTACGAAGTTTTTAAAGAAGTTATTTCTTAACCCTTAGTAAACATACACGCTCAAAACACATATCCCCTTCTGTACTGAAATTCTTAAGAGATCAAGTTGCCATTTCAATCTCCCCATTAAAAGACTAAAGGCTACAGGCACTGGCCTTGATGTACAATTTCTGAAAAGTATTAACCATGCCACAATCATACACATTTTTGTCAAAATTCAGTGGGAGGAAAAGTATTATACTATATGCCAGTTCTAGAAGCTGTTTGCCTATCCAGGATCATGCTGTTTAAAAGCAATCAGAAGAGTATTTTAAGCACACTTTAATATAATCTGCTTTGAGAGAACCTCTGCATTTCAGTTTCACTGGTAGATGGAAAACCTCTGAAAGCTTCAATGGACTTCTTAAGAAAAGGAGCTTCAGGGTCTTTTGCATTAAATCTCTAGACTTTTAGAAAATTTACCAACTGAGTTTCATTACAGCCTACTGATTTAAACTGTTAATTTTCCAGGACTTTAGGGAATCTGTTAGGACCACATTCTCCCTACCCATTTAAATGATCACTAGATTTAAAACCTCTAGCAACAGAGTAATAGAAAATGAATCAGTTTGTCACAGCTATCTTCTATTTCAGAATTTACATATATGTTTCTTCTGGTAAATAAGAGGCAAACATGATTTTTTAAACAAAGAACACTAACACAAGTCTTGCATTTTCTTAATATAAAACAAAGGGTATAGGCTTCTCACAAATAATCCTCTTCCATCCAAAAGCAAGTTCCTCACTAGCTATCATGAGCCCATCTAGCATACGTGACACAGTCTTGGAGACAAAATTTTACCTGAGGGAATCGCGAATGCTTGGATAAGTAATTGAGACCACTCAGAGCAACTGTCAAATACACATAACTCATGCTGTTCCTTCAGAAAGCCCCAGTGATTTCCAAGACTCACTCTCCAGCTGAATCATAACCCAGTAACTTCACATCCAGCTGCTAACAAGCAACGACTCATAGTACTGAGACAGGACCACTGGGATCTTCTCTGGATGCCTCTTTTGCCCTTTCTCCAGCTTCTTTTATTTCAGCCTCTTCCCTGCAGCTGTAAGCCTGACTCGGCTTTATCTCAAGCCAGGAACAAAGACAAAGAGCCTCCTCTGAGCCCAAGTCAATGAATTTCTGCCAAGAAGCTGGTGAAAATTTCATTGGCAACCTGTGGCATCAGCACAACCAAGAGGGACCCGATAATTCTTGATACTATTCTACTATTCCTACAAGCACCTCCTCCCGTCCCTTGCAACTGTTTTCCATATTTCCGTTACTTGGCCTGTGCCTTAATCTCTGACATCTAGGGACAAAGTGTAAATTCAAGCAATAACCTTTAATTCAATCTTGTGGCCACTCTGGGCTGCCGTCACTGCTCAAAAGTCTTCTGAAATGTATCTCTTCGCCACTAACCTGCCCATCATACAGGTTAGTGGTGAGGAGGAAGGGAGTGAGGTAGACAGGAAGTCACCAGTTACTTTAATTTTTAAACTAGTCTATCTCCCAACTCTCATCCCAAACAGCTTTGGAGTGAAAACCAGACAAAGCAACGTGAAATAAACAAGATTTAAATAAAAGAAAGTAATAAATACATAAATAAAAGGAAGCAATATAAATGTGGACCACTTTTCAATTTTTGAAGGCCTAGCACTGATGCTGAATTCAAATTTACTTAAAAACATTGCAAGCAGCCCAATAAACACACTTGCCCAGTCCTTTTCCCTTCCAAAAACATTAATAGATATTAAGTATATTTTTGTTTAGGGTATCCTTCTTAAGGTCTACTGGCAAGAAATCTGCCACTCTTTTTTTTTTTTTGGAGATGCTTGCTCATTAACCTGCAACTTCAAAATATATAATGTCCTTATTAATCAGGTACTTTGATAACTATTACACCATCAGTTATGTCTAAAAAAAGAGGATAACTGTTTTTTGTCTTTACTAAGTTGAACAAGCAGATGGTTTCCAGTACTTCTGTTGTAATTCCTTTGTTGTTAAAGTATACATTTCTTGGGATTACACCATCATTTAAATGAATTTAATTAAGTAGGGGGTGGGATCATCCCTCAGGAAATACCTTTTCTGAGGCTGCACTTACAACAGGAATTTTTTCCATGTATGAAAACGATGCTAATTGAACTTGTGCTCTCATAACAGCAAATGTGTGTAACACACTATTTTTCTTTTTATCAAGAGTAAAGACTGTAACAATTATGCCACTCCCAGAAGGATGCAGCTGTTTCAAAACCTTTTAAAAAACAAGGGAAAAATATAGCTTATTCAAGCATCTGTGCCTGACAAATAAAATAAGACATTTGCTTACTTGGCTATGAGGTCTCCTTTCTCCAAAAGTTGTATCCTAAAAGTGCGAGAGCACTATGTCATATACCAGGACTGAAAACCTCCCTCCACTGCAGGTTGACCCAGTTTTTCCATGACACTGTGATAACACTGATGTGACCACAGAACATCACTGAACATTCCAACCTACCTGGCATCTGGAAAGGACTTCCTGGGTCTGAGCTGGTGGGAGAGTGAGGGTAGGTGCTGCTGCTGCTCCCAGGAGAGTTTGGGTAACTGCTATTGGGAGAGTGAGGAAACGGGTGGCTGTTGGGTTGCTGGAAAGAATCTGGAAAAGTGGCGTTGAGTGGCATGTGAGGCTCATTTTGTCCTAAGTTACGGAACTGAGCTAAGAGGCTGTGCTGAGGATTATATTCGCTGTGTCTTGGAACCAGCACAGGAGGAAGTACTAGAAAAAGGAAGGGAAAAAAGAGAAGGGCAAAAATGAGAATGATGATCTATAATTACATCACAATAAAGTAAAATATAATCTGTAAGCAACAACAAATTATCTGTTCCATGCCCTGCTGCCAACTCAAAAGCATCATTCAAATGAAAAGCTATTTTACCCTCAAGAACAAATGCAGGAACAAATACAATCCCTTTAGAATCACTGATGACCTATGCCTGAAATTTGTGGTATTCACAAATTGCCCAAGGAAAGTTGGCAAAATACAATCTTTTAGGTTACAAATGTTAAGGTTCTCTCATTCTTAATTTTTTCATTCACTAAAAACCAAAGCATAATTGTTTATCACCATTGACATTTATACTTCACAGCCCCAGCTGGTAAGACTTCACATTTGAGTTAATGCTTATTGAATGATATGAATTATTCACCACAAGTGTTTTAAGCTGACACACTAGTTCACTTTAACACAAAAAAGCAGCATAGTAAATAGAGCTGAAGAGGTAAAATCAGTGAACTGTAGAAAACTCAAATGCCATGAAGATAATTATACAAAATACGAGGCGTTTTGTGGGACAGAATTTATCTTGAATCCTGTCCTAGGAGTCACACTTTATGAACATCCTTTTTCTAAGGATCTTACCCACTTTTCAAGAATCCTTACCACCACCTGGGAGGTCAAGAAAGAAATAGGTCATACAATTCACATTTTGCTAACTGAAAACTCAAGGTACAAAGGTGGCCCAACAGGCAGGGACCTGTTGAGAAGCAAAGAAAACAACTCCTGTCACTCCTAAATGCTCTATATTAGGAACCTAAGGAGTTAATAATTGGCATGGTCATCAACCTCCAGAAACCTCCTGAAGCAAAGCCACTATAAATATAATTATACTAGAAAGGTGGGGCTGGCTAACAGTCAGTTACAGAGCCCAGCCAGATCCTAGGGTTAGATCTTAAGTTTCCCTACCAGGGTCACCAGATGGATGCTCTAACAGAGGCCTTTGCAATCCCTCCAGCTCCCGTGGCCTCAGCTGCAAAGAGAAAAGCAACCCATTTTATAAACTGCGTGAGAGGAGAGATTTAAAACTTATGATTATTGTTGGTTGTTAGGAATCAGAATACATTTCCCCAAAGAAACAATATTTGGTGGCAATAGGAATTTAGCAGACTTTTGAGGGCTTTCCAGGGAATCTATGCATAATTTATATCATTTCTACCGTAAAAAGTGCTCTTAACACTTGGATTATCACTTTTTTATGAACTGAACATTGCTTTTTAGATAAAAATAGGTATTTTAAAAAGTATTAAAATTTCTCATGTGCTACATTTCATACTCCTACATAATCCCATAGCATCAGATTTGTTATTTCCCTATTTGATCCTTTAGGAACAAATCTTTTGAGTATATAATAAATGTATTTTCTTTTTAGTACAGTGATGGAATCTTCCCAAACCAAACCATTAAAAGCATAATTTCTTCTTCTACCTTTCAATAGTCATCTGAACTATAAAATGCTTTTGTTTTGTTGAAGAAACATTCCTGATAAGGGATCCCCAATGCCAATAAAAATTTATATTCCCAAACAGTCCAATTCCTTTCAATTACCTTTGCAACGATAAACGTTCCCTTTTCTTTTAGCTGCTGTGACTTGAGTTGCCATTTCCCAGCTTGCCTTTTACAGGCATCTAGCTATGGTCTCAATTACGATTTTTACCCGTAAAAGGGGGAAAACATTGGCCCCTAAACCCCTCCCCACAAATGCAGCACCATACAGCAACTAGAATCAATCTGTAATGTCCTCTATCCTTCAGAGGACCCCTCCCTCCCAAAACACACTCACAGAGTCCATTAAGGTTGGTGCAAAAATAATTGTGCTTTTTGCATTTAATGGCAAAGACTGCAGTAACTTTGCACCACCTTAACACTTAGTGGAGCATCTGTTTTAGCAGTTCCTGTTTCCTAACAGTTTTAGAACTGGAGACTTACTTGTTCCTACTACTTGCAGATGGGGGTAGTCAGGGAGGAAGAACTAGCCTTTGCAATGGCCACAGCAAAGGGCAATGTATTTCTGCTCCCCAAGTTGATAATCTGCATACGTGTTCCTCACAATGTGAGATTCATCCAATGTTGTGTGTGTAGCATCTTGTTATGTGTATAAACAACAATTTATTTGATGATACAATTTTGTCTTCTGCTGATAAATACTTGGGTTGGGGAAAAGAAAAACAACCCAATGCTTGGGTTGTTTCCAGCTTGAGGAAGTTATAAAAACTTCATGAACTTTAAAAAATGTAACTTATTTTGAAATAATTTCAAACTTACAGAAAACTGCAAGAGTACAAAGAACACTCAAATATCCTTTACCCAGATTCACCAATTTTTAACATCTTGCCACATTAACTCACTCATTCTCTCTCCTCCCTCCCCCGGCCCCAGAACACAAATACACTTCTGAATTATCTGAGAGCAGGTAACACACATATCCCTTTTTCCTAAAGCATTTCAGAGTAACGCCCAAAAGGAACATTAACTTACATATACACATTTGTTATCAAACTTGGGACATTTAACACTGCTGATTTTATCTAATATAAAATCATATTCCAACTCTGTCAACTGTCTCAACCATGTCCTATGTAGCAACTTCCTGATACAGGACCTAAGGTAGAATCACATATTGTACTTTGTTGTCATTATTTCTTTAGTCTCCTGTAATCTGGAATAGTTCTTCAGCATCTTTTTTCCTTCCTGCTTTCATGCTACTGACATTTTTGAATACAGGCAGTTATTTTACAGACTGTTTCTCAATTTGGGTCCCTCCAATGCTTCACCGTGATTAAACTCTCAGATTTTTGGTTAGACTACTAGGTAAGTGGTATTATTCCCTTCTCAGTTCATACACACAAAAGCACATGATGTGTCTGCCTGTTTGAGGTTTAATCCTGATCACTTGGTTAAGGTATTGTGCATTTCTTCCACTGCAGCCACTTACTGTCTTTCCTTTTGTAATTAATAAGTAGTGAGACACTAGACTGTGTAAATATCCTGTTCCTCATCAAGCTTTATTCCCTATATTTAGCATCCATTTTGCTTGAATAAATTTTTGCTATAATGGTTGTGAACTGGTGAATTTTAACTCCATTATTCCTTAATTATTAGTCAGAATTCTAATATGAGGACGTGCTTTTCTATCTTGTGTCTATATACCTACATATAATAGTCATCAGTATGGCTTCATGGATTCTTAATCAATGAGCTATAATCCATAACTGTCTTTATTTTGATGGTGATATTGTCTTAGATTTGGCCATTGGGTGCCTGTTCAAGCTAGTCCTTGTGCCTTTGTAACATGTTCCAATTATTTGAATATTTCTTAATTTCTGGAACAAGACATTCCAGGCTTATCTCTTACCTTCCCTTTCCACCAGTCTAGCAATCTCTGGTTCCCTTTAGTGAGGAATAGTATTTAGAAACCAAAATCTGGGATGTGGCTGTGTTCTGTATGTCTACTGGAGCCACACTGATTCTAAGCCCTGTGTGTGTGTGTGTGTGTGTTAGAAATTGGGTTATGCTGTTACATTCAAGTGTAAGCCAACTCCACAGGGTTTTCATTTGCCTTTCTCTATTTCCTATCTGTATCTCCTTACTTCAACAGTGAGAACCTTGGCTACCAACATCAAAGTATTTATTAATGTGCTTAATTCTACAATACACTGAAAAAGTTTCAGAAATTATAAAATAAACCTACTAAGTTTTGGGTTTATTTTAATTTTTTTTTTTTTTTTTTTTTGGTATACAAAGTACTTGGATTCATTCAAATTCATTTAAAATCTACTTGGATTCATCCCCCTCTTCAGTGTTATTTTATTACTTTGAAATTTTATTCAATTTCTCCCTTTCACAGTTAGTTTATCTGAATACATCTGTTGCTGTTTGCACTTAGTTTTAGGAATTTCCCTCTCTGATTCTTGTTGACTTAATTTTACTTTGTAAATACAGACAATATTAACATGATTTTAAAGTCAAAACAATATACTCCCTACCCTGTCCCTTCTAACTTAGTCCTCCAATTTTAACATCCTCATAGGGTCACCAATTTCCTTTTCTGGTTTATCCTGTGTTTCTTCTTGAAAAAAGCAAGCAGATAAATGGATGCTTTCTTATTTCGTCTTTACTGCTAAAAAGAAAGGTAGCCTGCTATACATGCTCTTTTGCACTTTGCTTTTTTCACCTATATAAGAGAAATAACTTTATATTAGTGCACAGAGGTCTTCCTCATGTGGTTTGACAGATAATAACACTAAAGTTCATTGAACAATCTCCCGTATCTGGCCATTTAGGTATTTCACAGTATTTTGCCATAAAATGTAATACTGAATGTAATACTGCAATGACTGTGCATATATATGGTAGCATTGTCAAAGGTGTATCTTCAGGGCAAATTCCTAGATGTGGAAATGCTGGGTGAATGGGTAAATGCATATATAACTTTGTGATTGTCAAGTACTCCTTCCCAATGGTTACACCATTTTGCACTGTTACACAGGAGTGCCTTTTCCCCACATCTTCCAGAATAGAGTCTGTCAAGCTTTTGAATCCTGACAACCTGATAGGTGAGAAATGGCATTTTGGTGTAATTTTAATTTACATTTCTCTTATAAAGTAAGTTGATAATCTTTTCATGTATTTCAGAGAGTGCTTTTCCATCTTTTTCTGTGAACTGCTGACTTATGCCTTTTGCCCATTTTTGGTATTTTCACCCTTCATTAAAAACCACATACTAGAGATACTAGCCTGTGATATATGTTGTGGATATTTTACGATTATCATTTGTCTTTTCACTTTGCTTATGTATATTTTTTGGTAGTCACATTTATCAACATTTTATTTTATTGTATATGGATTTCTGAGTCCTAGAAAGTCTTCTCCTATACCCAGGTTATAAGGAGGAATTCATCCATGCATACTTCTAGTGCACATAAAGTTTCATAATTTATTC